TGGACTGCAGGCCCACTTGCCAAGCCCAAGGTAATGCGGCAGGTAGCGGGTAAGTCCATTTCCTTCTTAGTGGACACAGGGGCTACCTATTCTGTATTGCCTTCCTACTCAGGACCTAGCATACCTTCCCAGGTTTCAGTCATGAGAATTGACGGCAAGCCTTCCTGTCCCAACCAAACTCATCCTTTAGCCTGTGTCCTCGAGGGACACCCCTTTTCCCTCTCCTTTTTAATCATACCCTCATGCCCAGTCCCCCTTTTAGGACGAGACATTCTCCAAATGGTGGGGGCCACTCTCCAACTCACTGGCCCCCCACACTCAAGCCCATCATCCGCTCACCTCCTACTGCCACTCCTGACTGACGCCACATTCTGCCCTGACTCCTCGCCTCAACCCGCTATCCCTCCTAACGTAGTTAATCCCCTGGTATGGGATACCTCCAAGCCTGTAGCGGCCAAACATCATCCCCCAGTTAAGATACTTCTCAAAGATCCTACCCACTTTCTTTCACATCCTCAGTTCCCCATCTCGAAGGCCCACCGTCAAGGTCTGAAGCCTATCATCACCCACTTGCTAGCCCAGGAACTAGTTATTCCCACCAGTTCCCCTTGTAATGCCCCTATCTTGCCGGTCCAAAAGCCATCCGGCGGCTACCGCCTGGTTCAGGACCTGTGCCTTATCATCGAGGTGGTGGTACCCCTCCACCCTGTAGTCCCCAACCCATACACCCTATTATCATACATTCCCTCCACTACCTCTCATTTTACAGTTCTTGACCTCAAGGACACCTTCTTTACCATTCCCCTTCACCCTGAGTCCTCCTTACTCTTTGCCTTCACCTGGATCGATCCTGACACCAACCTGTCACAACGGCTTACCTGGACGGTCCTGCCTCAGGGGTTCCGAGACAGCCCTCACATTTTTGGACAAGCCTTGGCAGCCGACCTTGGCTCCTGCCCGCTTCAACCCAGTCTCCTTCTCTGGTACATGGACGACCTGTTACTTTGCAGCCCCTCCCTCTCCCTATCCCAACAGCGTACTGCCACTCTCCTTAACTTTCTCAGATCTTGGGGATACCGGGTATCTCCCTCCAAAGCACAGTTATCAGTCATGTCGGTGGTCTACTTGGGCATTGGCCTCACCCCCAAAACTAAAAGCCTAACAACAGATCGCCGGAGAGCACTTCTTTCACTGCAGCCCCCGGAGACTGCCGACCAGATTCTCTCCTTTTTAGAATTTGTAGGATTCTTCCGCCATTGGATGCCTAAATTTGCCTCTCTAGCTAAACCTCTGTACATGGCGGCTAAGGACACCCCCATGGGACCTCTCTCCCATCCTGAGGTTGTAAAACGGGCTCTTAAAACCCTCCAAACTGCTCTGTCTACCGCACCCCCACTTCATCTGCCAGACCTCAATCGCCCCTTTTATCTGTTCACTGATGAGAAACAGGGTATTGCTGTCAGGGTTCTAACCCCACCCCTGGGCCCTGTGTTCCACACTGTAGCCTACTTATCAAAGCAACTTGACCCCACAGTCAGGGGGTGGCAGCCTTGCCTGCGGGCCCTGGGAGCAGCGACAGAACTTACCAAGGAATCCCTAAAACTTAGCCTGGGCCAGCCCATCTCAGTGTTGTCTCCTCACCGGCTTACCGACCTCCTCTCCCACAAATCCCTCGCTCACCTAGGGCCCTCTCGTCTACAGGAGTTCCACCTGCTCTTCACTGAAAATCCTTCAGTCAGCCTTCATCCCACTTCCCCACTGAACCCGGCTACCTTGCTTCCCCTTCCATCCCTTCCCCCTTCGCCAGCCCACTCCTGCCCTGAACTTATGGGTGCACTTGCCAAACCTCGGGAGGGCCTATCCGACCTTCCCCTACCTAACCCAGACCTTACCTTCTATGTGGATGGAAGCTCAGTAATGACAGCCGACGGGTGGCGAAAGCCTGCCTATGCGGTAGTCACAGATTCAGCCACCCTCAAGGCATGTCGCCTCCCTGACGGAACCACATCACAAAGGGCGGAGCTCATTGCCCTAACGCGAGCTCTTACATAGCACAGGGAAAGTGAGCAAATATCTATACTGACTGAAAATATGCTTTTCTTATTAGCCATTGCCACTCTGCCCTCTGGAGAGAGCGGGGATTCCTTACCACAAAGGGGTCCCCCATAATCAATGCTGCACAGATCTCCAGACTTTTACAGACCTTATCATTGCCCAGGGAGGTTGCAGTCATACACCACCAAGAACACCGGGCCCAGCAGGATGCCGTCTCCCGGGACAATGCGCAGGCAGATACAGCAGCAAAATCTTTAACTAACGCCAAGTTAACCCCTAGCCCTGTTCTCTTCCCTACCACAGCCACACAGCCTGTATACTCATCATCAAAAAACAGGCCATTATACTAAAAGGGAGAACAGAATCTAATCAGGGCTGGATCTTCCTAAATAACAGAATCGCCCTTCCCCGGGAACAGGCCCCTGAAATTATTGCTGAAATCCACCAATCCTTACATATAGGGCCTGAGGCATTACACTGCTTTGTACAGCCCCTCTTTTTCTCACCGGCTCTGTAACAAACAACTGAGCAGGTACACAAGGCTTGCGTTACTTGCTCTAAGGTCTCGCCTCAGGGAGGCTTAAGGCCACAGTTTCCTACCCACCAAATGTGTGGCAACCTACCAGCCCAAGACTGGCAAATTGACTTCACTCATATGCCCACTCACGAAAAGCTCCGCTACCTCCTAACTTTTGTAGATACCTTTTCAGGTTGGATGGAAGCCTCCCCCACTCCCTGGGAGATGGCAGACATGGTGACCTCCCTCTTTACTCAGGAAATCGTCCCTCGCTTCGGCCCACCTGCCACCATCCAGTCGGACAACGGTCCAGCATTTACGGCCCCAGTAGTCCAGCTAGTCGCCAAGTCCCTCAACATCTCCTGGGAACTGCACATCCCTTACCGTCCTCAGTCGTCGGGTAAAGTTGAACGGGCCCACGGCATCCTCAAAGACCATTTGGCCAAGCTTGCTATTGAGGTAAAACTCTCTTGGCCCACACTCCTACCTCTTGCCCTGGCCCGGGTCCGGGTCCGGGCCACCCCACGGGGGCCAACGGGCCTTAGCCCCTTCGAAATGCTGTACGGCTGGCCTTTCCTGGTTTCTCACAACCTCCCTGTAAACCCTCTCCACTGGCTTCCTACCTTCCCTTCCTGTCTTTTCTCCACCACCTGCTTAGGGAGCACGCGGACCGCTCCCTCCCTGTTGTTCCAGGACCGGAGGACTCCCACCCAGCGGTGCCTCTCCAACCAGGCGACAGCGTGCTCCTCCAAGAACTCAAACCAGGATCTTTGCAGCCCAGGTGGTCGGGACCTCACATTGTCATCTTTACCACCCCGACAGCGGCCAAACTCCTGGGTCACACTCCGTGGTACCATGTGTTCCGCCTCAAACTGGCCCCCCAAAATGATCAGTGGCAATCCGAATCCCTGGGCCCCCCTCGCCTCCGCCTCACCGTTGCCCCGACCCATCGCCCCCTAACCCTTCAGAGCCTTCTCCTAACAGCCCTTCTGATATCTCCTCTTAAAGCCAACTCCTATGTTTGGCGCTTCTACCTCCAGGAATCCTGGGTAGAGGGTCCCACTACCAGAACTCACTACCTTGCCCAAGCAGACTGCCAACCCGCTGGCTGCCAGTCAGCAGTAATAATTGAAATCCCAAGAACAAAATCTAAAACTGTGCCATTCTGGGGCCAAGGGTTTGAAGCTCATGGCCTCTGTTTTCTCTATGACCAAGTCCATGACTGTTGCCGTTGGTGGAACACCACCTATGGAGGTTGCCCATATAATTCCTGCATTATCCATAAGCCACAGTTAGACACAGCGGGAACTCTAAAAGGAAAGGAAGTACTCACCTCCAACGGCAAAGGTATTTCTTACCATCCGTGACCCGTGGGACAACCGCTGGGTAAAGGGAGTCAAGGTAGCCGGGCGCGGTGGCTCAAGCCTGTAATCCCAGCACTTTGGGAGGCCAAGGTGGGTGGATCACGAGGTCAAGAGATCGAGACCATCCTGGTCAACATGGTGAAACCCCGTCTCTACTAAAAATACAAAACATTAGCTGGGCATGGTGGTGCGTGCCTGTAATCCCAGCTGCTCAGGAGGCTGAGGCAGGAGAATTGCCTGAACCCAGGAGGCGGAGGTTGCGGTGAGCTGAGATTGCGCCATTGCACTCCAGCCTGGGTAACAAGAGCAAAACACCCTCTCAAAAAAAAAAAAAAAAAAAAAAGCGAGTCAAGGGAAAAATTTACTTTTGGTGGTATAACAGCCACCCCCAGGGAACATGGCTGATATTTCGGTCCTATACCCACATTGTCCCTGAGGTTATAGAACAACTTAGCTCTATAAGCCACACAATCTTGCAAAATGAAGCCACACTGACTAACCAAGTCAAACCCTCAAACAGCACCTCTCAGCCTTTCTCTTGGTTAACTCTAGTGCAACAGGGAGCTAGCATGTTAAAGCTAACCTAAGCCATAAATATCACCAACTGCTTTTTATGTGCCTCTCTTAGCAACCCCCCCTTGGCTGCAGTTCCCCTCAGGTCCGGGTTCAATCTGTCACAATCACCTACAGGGCCCTGCACCACCTTAATGGATATCCCCTTGTTCAAAGTGCACTCTCAAAATTTCTCTCTCTGCGGTAACACCACAGTAAAAGTAAAATCCTCCCTCTACGCACCTCCAAGAGGATACTTCTGGTGTAATGGAACCTTAACCAAAGTTATTAATGCCTCCTTCCCTTTCCCTTGTGTGCCTGTCACCTTGGTCCCGCAGTTAGAGGTATACGGACAGGCCGAACTTCTGTCCCTCCTTCCACCCTCCCCTAATCACCGAGACAGACGAGCAGTCTTCCTCCCAATGGCCGTTGGTCTCTCTCTAGCATCCTCTCTGGCGGTGGCCGGGCTGGGAAGCGGCGCCCTAGGCTACAGCGTCACTGCAGCCACTCAACTAGAGGACAAGCTTCGCCTGGCTATCGAAGCGTCGGCCGCCTCCCTGGCCTCCCTCCAGCGACAAATCACGTCGCCGGCCCGGGTAACTCTCCAGAACCGAGGGGCCCTTGACCTGCTGACAGCAGAAAAGGGAGGTGCCTGTCTGTTTCTTCAGGAGCAGTGCTGCTATTGCATTAATGAAACGGGCCTTGTGGAGGAAAATGTCAGCACTATCGCCTCCAAGACGACCTCTGCAAGAAGCAGAATGCATCAGTCTCCCCTCTCAACGGGGGGCAATCCCCCATGCTCCCCCGGCTAACCCCATCATCACTCCCGTTACCGTAGTTTGTCTTCGGTTAATGCTGGCCCCTTTTTTCCTCAGGTTTTTACAGGCCCGCCTGAGGGAAACTTCCAGGGTGGCCGTAAACCAGATGCTGCTTCACCCCTGTGTCCGACTCCCAACCGAGGCACCAGCCAACTGACCCTTCCCCCTCACTCCGCCCTGTTCAGCAGGAAGTAGCTGAACCCACCTCTGCACTCAGCACCTGACTGCACCCGGCACCTGGCTCTGCACCCGGCACCTGGCTCTGCACCCGGCACCTGGCTCTGCACTCAGCACCTGACTGCACCCGGCACCTGGCTCTGCACCCGGCACCTGGCTCTGCACCCGGCACCAGGCTCTGCACTCGGCACCTGGCTCTGCACGCAGCACCTGACTCTGCACCCGGCACCAGGCTCTGCACTCGGCACCTAGCTCTACCGCATGGCTCTCCTGGAAGGCTCCAGCTGATGCAACCCTGGCCGGCCCTTGTACTAGAAAAACCTGCCCAACAACCCACCAACCAATAGCGGCCCACCCCCTCCCAATCCCGCTCCCCCGGAGCCAATCAGAGCACCCAGCTGTTGCTCGTTACCCATAGCCACAAAAACCCCACGCCCCAGGAAGTCAGCGCAACTTTTCTGGCCCCCTTTCCCCGGACCATAGAACCTCGCCTGGGAGCTGAATAATCTGGCATTTAATTTTTTTATACTGGCCTCAGTTTCTTCATTTTAAACTCGGCAATAACCCTTACAGAATGGATAAAGATGTGATTCACACACACAATGAAATATTATTCAGCCTTAAAAAAAGAAGGAAATCCTGCCATTTGCAGCAACATGGATAAACCTGGAGGACATGGTGCAAAATGAAATAAGCCAGGCACAGAAAGACAAATGCTGCATGATCTCACTTACATGCAGCATCTAAAAAGTTGCAGCATCAAAACAGTCGAATTCATAATGCCAAAGATTAGGATGGTGGTGAAGGGGAGGTGTGATTGTCAATGGGTAACTGTAGGGAAATCTCCATGACATTGGAATAGTTCGGGATCTCAGTTGTTGTGATGTAAATCCACACACGTGATAAAAATGACAGTATGAGCTGGGGTGGAGGCTCACGCCTGTAATCCCAGTGTAGGGTCCAGCCCTACACGGTCCTGTGAGCCCCTCTCTGCTGGTGCAGAGATGAGAAACTGTGGAAATAAAAGACACAAGACACGGAGATCGAGAGAAAAAGAGTTTGGGCCCAGGGGTCCACTGCCAGCGAAAGCGCGGAGTCCAGCAGTGGCCCCAAGTGTCCGCACGCTCTGATTTTTATTAAGTACAAAGCTGGGGGCAGGGCAGGTACAGCTAGGCATTGGCTGTCCATGATAGGGTCAAGTGCATCACGTGTCATAGGGATGGGGGCCCAGGACTTTCTAGTAGCCAAGCTGAGGTAAGGAGCATAATGTGTCAGCATTTTTCCATACTTGTCAAGAAAGAACAAAGATATTAAGATATATGTTACTTTTACTGATTATCTCTTCTAAGAAAAAAGGAACCAGGTGCAGAAGCGGAACATGACAGTGGACTTGGAACGTGACCACTGAAGCACAGCGTCACATAGAGACAATTAAGCCCCCGGATGTCTTCAGGCCTCCCTGATAGCGGTCAGGCCCACCACAAGAGCTTCGGGGAGCAGAGTTTTCTACCGGCTCCTCCAGGGAAGGAGACATCTTAGACGTCTCCTTCCACAGCTGGATAAATAGCGGGCACTTTCCCAGCGCTGGCGCTGCCGCACAGCCAAGGCACCCTCCAGCAGCACTTTTGCGGGCGTGACAGAGGGCTTAGAGCCTCTTGCCTTAGGGTCACTTCTTTCACCATGTCACCTTAGGCTCACACTTTTCGACTTGAGAGGCATTAGTAAAAGATTATGCTGAATCGGCGGGCATGGTGGCTCATGCCTGTAATCCAAACACTTTGGAGGCCAAGGCAGGCGGATCACCTGAGGTCGGGAGTTCAAGACCAGCCTGGACAACATGGTGAAACCCTGTCTTATAAAAAAAAAAAAAAGAAAAGAAAGAAAGAAAAAGAAAAAAAAAAAGATGCTGAATACATATATATATATCTTAATGGTTACCTATGAATAAGATCGCCTGTGAATAACTACTATAGTTTTATGTCTAGTTCTTTTCTTCTTCATTATTTATGTGGGAATAGGCTGGGGCTTCTGACTCCTGCCTCGGCACTTATGGATTCTCCCACCCACTTCCCAGTACTTTGGGAGGCTGAGGTGGGTGGATTACCTAAGGTCAGGAGTTCGAGACCAGCCTGACCAACATGGAGAAATCCCATCTCTACTAAAAATACAAAATTAGCTGGACGCGGTGGTGCATGCCTGTAATCCCAGCTACTGGGAGACTGAGACAGGGGAATCACTTGAACCCCGGGAGGCAGAGCTTGTGGTGAGCCAAGATCGCACCATTGCACTCCAGCCTGGGTAAAAAGAGCAAAACTCTGTCTCAAAACAAAAAGAAAAACAAAATGACAGTGTGACAGAACTATGCACACACTTCATACTAATGTCAGTTTCCTGGGTTTGTGATTGCAATATAATTATGTAAGATGTAGCCATTGGAGTAAACTAAGTAAAAGATAGATTTGGGGGCTGGGTAGGGTGGCTCACACCTGTAATCCCAGGACTTCGGGAGGCTGAGGCGGGCAAATTGTTTGAGCCCAAGAGTTTGAGACCAGCCTGGGCAACATGGTGAAAACTTGTCTCTACAAAAAATACAAAAATAAGCTGGATGTGGTGGGCCGTGCCTGTAGTCCTACCTACTTGGGAGGCTGAGGTAGGAGGATCACCTGAACTCAGGGAGGTAGAGTCTACAGTGAGCTATAATTATGCCACTGCACTCCAGCCTGGGTGACAGAGTGAGACTCTGTCTCAGTAATAAAAAAGGTATACCTGACCTCTCCACACTATTTTTGCAACTTCTTGTGAATTTATAATGATTATAGATATTAATAATTAAGAATTATAAACAGTATAGATTCTCAAAAAGTTTCAAGAAATTGCAAAAATAATAATTATTACTATTTTATTATATACATATACATATTTTAAAAATATTTCTGAGACAGGGCCTTGCTCTGTTGCCCATGCTGGAGTGCAGTGGTGTGATCTTGGCCCACTGCAACCTCCAACTACTGGCCTCAAGTAATCCCCCTGCCTCAGCCTCCCAAGTAGCTGGGACCACAGGCGTGCAGCACCATGCCTGGCTAATTTTCTGTGTTTTCGTAGAGACAGGGTTTTAATGTGTTGTCCAGGCTGGTCTTAATTAATATTATTAGTTGAGACAGGGTCTTCCTCTGTTGCTCAGACTGGAGTGCAGTGGTGCCACCACGGCCCACTGCAGCCTCGACCTCCCAGTTTCAAGCAATCCTCCCTCCTCAGCCTCCCAAGCAGCTGGAACTACAGGTACATGTCGCTATGTCTGAGTAATTTTTAAGTTTTTTGTAGTGATGGGTCTTACTATGTTGCCCGGGCCCATCTCAAACTCCTGGGCTCAAGTGATCCTCCCACCTCAGCCTCCCAAAGTGCTGGGATTACAGCTGTGAGCCACTGCACCTGGCTGATTACATTTGTAAAACGCTTATTTAAGCTGTATAGAGATAGGTATCCTCCATTTGGTAGGTAGATAATATTCACGTTTACTAACTAGTGTCTTGCTTTCTTAGAGAAAACTGCCAAACACAGAGCTCCTACATTTACACAGCACAGACAGGCTGCGAGGTGTTGCACAGAATTTACCTTTCCAAATAAAATAAACTTATTTCTTATTTCCCTAAATAATGTTAAAACATTCACTGAGCATTTTACCAAAACGTATTAAAATTGTCCTTGCTTTTTTGCACAAACAAAAACCCAGGGCAGAATTCAGTATCAGGGTCAGCTGGGGGTTGGGGACCTCCCAGGCAGCCAGTCCTGCTTATGGAATCAATTTCCTTTCCTTGAAGAAAACCAGTAGCTCCCAGCACTTTGGGAGGCCGAGTAGAGGCAAGTGGATTGCCGAGGTCAGGAGATTGAGACTAGCCTGGCCAAAATGGTGAAACCCCATCTCTACTAAAAATACAAAAATTAGCTCGGCATGGTGGCCAAGGCTGTAATCCCAGCTACTCGGGAGGTTGAGGCAGGAGAATTGCTTGAACCCCGGAGGCGGAGGTTGCAGTGAGCCAAGATCCCACCACTGCACTCCAGCCTGGCGACAGAAGCGAAACTTTGTCTAAAAAAAAAAACAAGAAAGAAAAAGGAAAACAAACACCCTCTCCTCCCCACCAGGCCCATGGAGGCTTCGGAAAAGATTGCGCAGGCTCTCCCGAGGGCTGCAGAGCCAAGAGCGGGGTCCAGGCGTCCTTGGATGAAAATTCAGCTGAGTCACATTGTTTCTGAGTTTTCAACAAAGAAATGTATCTTTGCACCCATTTTCCCCTTGGATGGGTACAGACTTTCTTGCCTCTTTTGGTAGTGAATCTGTGAAAAAGAGACATGGATAAGTCAATATTGAGACTCTGCCTCCTCAGATGGGGGAGAAAGGGAAGGAGGGGCAGCTCCCTCACAGGTCTTCTGGTCTCGTCACACCCCCGTTTCTCTCTGTCCCTGTCCCCTCTTCTCCTGGGCCTTGCCTCCCTCTCTGCTACCTTGATTTCCACTGGAAACTAAGCCTCCAGACCTACCTCCCCCAGGTACTATTTATCATTTTCCACCCATTCTAGCCTGCACCATGACACTTAACTGTTTTTTTTTTTTGAGACAGAGTCTTGCTCTGTCGCCCAGGCTGGGGTGCAATGGGGCAATCTCAGCTCACTGCAACCTCCACTTTCCAGGTTCAAGCGATTCTCCTGCATAAGACTCCCAAATAGCTGGGATTACAGGCACCCGTCATTACACCCCGCTAATTTTTGTATTTTTAGTAGAGACAGGATTTTGCCATGTTGGCCAGGGTGGTCTCGATCTCCTAACCTCAGGTGATCTGCGCACTTTGGCCTCCCAAAGTGCTGGGAAAACAGGTGTGAGCCACTGCACCAGGCCATTCTTTCATTTTATTTTATTTTATTATTATTTTTTTGAGATGGAGTCTTGCTCTGTTCCCAGGCTGCAATGCAGTGGCGCGATTTTGACTCACTGCCACCTCCGCCTCCAGGGTTCAAGTGATTCTCCTGCCCCAGCCTCCCAAGTAGCTGGGATTTACAGGCACCCGCCACCACACCTGGCTGCTTCTTCCATTATAATCTAACAGCTTTGTTGGAATATAGTTTACACAGCACACATAGAATTGAACTCTGTGGGTTTGAACTCTGTGGGTCCACTTATAGACAGCCTTTTTCCAACCAAAGGAGGATGGAAAACACAGTACTCAGTGATGCAAAACCTGCAGAAATGCAGGGGAAATTGCATGCCAAAATCCTGGAACCAATCCCCGGCGGTTACTGGGGGATACCGTAATTCACTCTTTTTTTTTTTTTTCTTTTGTTAGGGATGAAGTCTCCCTCTGTTCCCCAGGCTGGAGTTCTGTGGTGCGATCATAGCTCACAGCAGCCTTGAACTCCTGGACTCGAGCAATAGTCTAACCCTCTCCACCGTATACAGCTCCACCCATTTAAAGTCTATAATTATAAATCAGTGGTTTTTAGTATTGTAAGGCTGGGAGCTCGGACAAGCCCATCCCTCTCCACGCCTGACATTACATCACCAGAATCTGCACTCAGCATCTAGCTTTGTCACGCCCACCTCTGCACTCAACACTAAACTCTGCACCCGGCACCTAGCCCACCGTTGGAAATCCCCTCTGCACTCAGCACCAGGATCTGCACTCAACACTAAACTCTGCACTCGGCAACTAGCCAGCCGTTGGAAAATCCCACCAAAATTTAAAAGAAGCCCCGCCAAAACCTGCCCAATAGCGTATAACCCCATCCAGCCCGCTCACCGGAAATCCCGCCTACCTACCTATAGCAGCTTGCCACGTCCACGTCCTGTTTCCCCACAGCCAATCAGAGCGCCTTCCCTCCCTGTATAACCCCACGCCTGAGAGAAGTCAGGCCTGACTTCCCTGGCCTCTTTCTCGGGGACCATGGAACCGAATTCGCCCGGGAGCCGAATAAATTGGCATTTAATCTTTTTATGCTGGCCTCAGTTTTCTCATTTTAAACTCAGCAATATACCTCACAGAGAATAAACCTTACAAGTATATTCACAGATTATGCAACTATCCCCACGATCAATTTTAGAATATTTTAATCACCCAGAAAGGAAACCTACACTCATCATGTTATTTAATTCTTAACCACATTTTCAAGGATTATTCATCATAGTTGATGATTCCTGGACTCCTTACCTCACTGTGAGCTTATTAAAAGTGGATGTTGGCTGGGTGCAGTGACTAATGCCTGTAATCCCAACATTTTGGGTGGCTGAAGCGGGCAGATCACCTGAGGTCAGGAGTTCAAGACCAGCCTGCCCAACAGGGTGAAACTCTGTCTCTCCTAATAATACAAAAGTCATCTGGGCGTGGCGACATGCGCCTATGATCCCAGCTACTTGGGAGGCTGACGCAGGAGAGTTACCCGAAGCCGGGAGGTAGAGGTTGCAGTGAGCCAAGATCATGCCACTGCACTCCAGCCTGGGCAACAAGAGCGAAACTCTGTCTCAAAAAGAAAAGAAAGAAAAAAAAAAAAAAAAGCAGGCTCTACCTGAAGCTCAGAGTCACACTTGTTAGTGTGTAGAGGTGAGATTTCCAGGTTCCCATCCCAAGGCTCATCCTGGGGATCTGCCCAGCCCCCATCCTCTTCCATAGCTGACAGGTATCCTGAAAGCACATCCGAGAAATACATCACAGCCCACTGGAAGCAGCTATTACTGGTGAATTCATAGCTTTGCACAGAGGTCCAGGGCAGGGACTTGTGGCTATATTGGAAGCAGCCGGACCTGGCTATGTCGCTCCCACCTAAAAATCAGGGAGAGGAAGGACTTTGGAGATGCCCCTTTCCGTCCACTCCCAGGCCGCCCTGGGAGGAACCCCGGGAGGGGAATGAGCCAGCTACATACATATGGCAGTTCCAAGGTGGAGACTAAGGAGGAAGGCCAGGAGCACAGGAGAGGCCATAGAGAAGCCCATCATCATGTTACAAATCAGGCCCTTAACAAGTTTCTCCCAAACTCCTCCTGCCTGATCCCCGTTTATGAGGCTGAGACTGCCCTGAAGACAATTCCAGAGAATTTTGTGGTTGAGAACAAAGCCGCACTTTTGACCCAACAAAGGAAAAACAACCTACTACTCACAGGAAAGAAATTAGACAGTGAAGAAAGATAATCTGGGGCTGGGCGTAGTGGGTCACGCCTGTAATCTCAGCACTATAGGAGGCCAAGGCGGGCAAATCACTTGTGGTCAGGAGTTTGAGATCAGCCTGGCCAACATAAAAAAAAAAATCCATCTCTACTAAAAACACAAAAATGAGCCAGGCATGGTGGCAGGTGCCTGTAACCCCAGCTACTCTGGAGGCTGAGGCAGGAGAATCACTTGAACCTGGGAGGTAGAGGTTGCAGTGAGCTGGGATTTCGCCACTGCACTCCAGCCTGGGTGACAGAGTGAGACTGCCGAAAATAACCCCAAAACCAAAAAGCAAAACAAAACAAATGACAAAAACACAAATGACTGGCCAGGTGCAATGGCTCACACCTGAATCCCAGCACTTTGGGAAGCCAAGGCGGGTGGATCACCAGGTTAGGAGTTCAAGACCAGCCTGGCCAATATGGTGAAACCCCGTCTCTATTAAAAATATAAAAATTAGCTGGGCGTGGTGGCAGGTGCCTGTAGTCCCAGCTACTTGGGAGGCTGAGGTGGGAGAATTGCCTGAACCCAGGAGGTGGAGGTTGCAGCGAGCTGAGATCGTGCCACTGTGCTCTAGCTTGGGCAGCAAGACTCCATCTCAAAAAAAAAAAAAAAAGCAAGTGACTGATGGTGTAAGGGTAGCTAGAGAAAGGAGAATAGACCCAAAGTCAGGCAAGCAAGTTTTATTAACCTGGGGGGCCGCTCCGTAACAATTAGAGGAGGCAGTCCCAAGTTTATAACCCATGGGCTTATATGGGGTAAGAGGGGGCATAAGGGAGTTTTCAGTAACAGGCACAGAGATAGTTCATTAACTTGTAACAGACCTACAATACACCATCCTGTGGCTTTTCTGGTGGCAGTCTCTTTAAAAAAAGACAGAAACCAGGATTTTGTACAGATATGTGTCAAACAGGAATTCACAAGTATGGAAAACCAACATGTTTTCCCTGTCCTCCCTCGAGCTGCCTGGATAGCTGTAATGAGGCTTTGCTTAATTGCCACAGGTCTGGCAGCCTTGATGTGGCACCTA